GGAGTTGAGTAGAGTCTTATGTTACGACCGACGGCCAGTCGGTCGGTCTGTCTTGGAATAAAACACCCGTCTGTGGCCGAAGACCAGAATTTTATTACTGTCAGACAGTTGCGGGTTTGTAGATGTGGGGCGCTCTATCTGAAGAGAGGACGCGTCTGTCGTTCATAACTGCTGTTGGTCATCGCCAGCGCAGTCATTCTCGGGTCCGAGTCCCGTGGGACTCGCGACCATATTTTACTGTCTCAGATTCAAGACTTCCCTTTTTGTCGCCTCCTACGACTCGCAGGGTCACGGTGGAGGTATTCGACGCCGCCTCCACACTGAATACGTAAGAAAATGTAAAATAGGGATCACTCAACACATCCAAGATACAAAAAAAAAAAATGCAGAATTCCATTGCAGGCTTACAGGGCTCGCCACCAATCGGTCCAGACCGGCCGTGGTACTCACTAAATCTCCCTATTCAATGGGTAACTAAGTTTATCTACCTGAGAGCAAAGCAGCCGGAGTGTGAAGCTAACCGCTAATCTGCATGTAGTGCCCAGGCTATCAACGTACAGAGGTTCATGTCCATTCCTGCTTACGTCATCACGCGGGGTACTTGACCGTTTGAAGTCTGAAGAACGAGGAGTAATTTGATGCTGGCCTTCGCCAGCACAGTCATTCTTGAGTTCGGGCCCCATCGAGACCCACAGCATATTTCTGTTCGTTCCCAGACCATTTAAATCTTTTTTTGGAATGGGACCTTCCCTTCGACAAGAGGAGAGGTAAATTTCTTCTGGTCTTCGTCAGCACAGTCTCCATAACGACCAACCGGTTAGTGCTGTTTAGGGAAAGTCACTGTTTATTGTGAGAACCATACGGAACACACAGACACACTGTGTGGGCACAAAGCAGAGTTTTATTACGTTAAAGCAGACGAAACATGGTTATCATTGTGCTTTACAGGGTTAACTACCCAGGCGTCACTAGTGGAAAATAAGAATTTTAAGACAAATAAGCCTCTGAGTGGCGATTACGAGCCACCGCTGCGGTCCCACGTACAGCTTCTTCAACTTTACTGAATGGTCGCTTCTAAGAGGACTCAGAGCACAAGCCACTTGGGAATAACTCGCCAATTAGCGTGATGGAAAGCGTGCGCCCTGAGCCGGTTTCTGGGGGCGAGCGGCACGTCCGTGCAATGTGACAGACGATACTCCCCCCCCCCCAACCCCCAAACACAAGCAGCGGCTGAAACTGTAGCCCGGCAAGAACAAAAACAAATACAGCAAATCGATTTCATGGACCCGGAATCAAAGCCTTGAAAAATGGCACTTGCGGTTCCAGCAACGCATCCGTGTCATGTCTACACGTCCCATTTGCTTCCAAACAAGTCGAAAGGGTCCGAAGTAGATCTCCTTTGGGCGCACACTTCGCTCAGTACTGTGATTAGTTGACGAGAGAACAATCGGGGATCGATTACAGGCAAGATCGAAGATTCTTCTGTTCTCCACAGCGTCCAGACTAACCATGGGCCCACACAGCCTCCTGTCCAGTTGGTACCGGGGGCTGTTTTCTAGGGGATAAAACAGCCGTGGCGTGAAGCACATCAATCACCTACATCTGGTGCACAAGTTAAGAACGCATGGACCTATACTTCCAGCCCTCTGTATTCACGGCCTTGGGGTTAATTAAGTACAGGGTTAACCTTATCGCAGAGTACAGGTCTCAACATAATTTTACATGAAACGGAAATCAGACTTTGTGTTATGGTCTTCTCGGTTATGACGTGTAGTCTGGATTGTGGTCACCAAAGTTTCCGACGAACCTGCTCCATCCAAGAAAAGGTTAGCACTCTTTTTCCCTGAAAATAGATGCAGAAGGTTCCTCCGAAACGTTGGCACATATATGATAATCTACACGGCGTCATATCTAAGAAAACCACAATCTTCATCTTTCGATCCATTTATATACACATTGGTTGTATAAACAAGCGGTTCTCAAGCTCTGACGGACAGGGGCCGGGAAAATTCCTTTTCTATAATACGAGGGAATGCAGTCGCGTAGTTGGCTAAGGTACTGTGCTACAAACCGGAAAGTCGCGTGTTTGAGTACCGATGAGGTGGATTTTTCAATTTACCTAATCCTTCAAGCGGCACAATGGCCCTGGGGTCGACTCAACTTCTAACAGAAATGAGTACCAGGAATCCTCCTGGGGGTAAAGGGCGGCCGGAGCGTAAGGCTGACAACCTTGCCGCCATATGTGACCCGACTGTCTAGAAGTTGTGGAAGCCTCGACGTCTCACAACCCTATGGGCCTCCACGGCCTCTTACAGGGATAGTTTTACCTCGAAAGACAAGGGCCCTGTACAGGGCCGCGGCCCGGCGGTTGAGAAACACTGGCATAAACACACTGCGGAACATCTCAGGTTACGGCGGAGACTGTGAAGCTTACTGGCTTCTAGGGATGTAACGCCGTGTAGTCTGGTAGATCGTTATGTATATTTCGGAGTATCCTACTGCCTCTACAATCGGCACTCCTGAAGACAGAAGCAGCAGGTTCCACCGAGATTACGCAAACAGAACACACGGCGTGACATCTCAGGAGACAGAACTTCAGGCCGAAGCCCCTGTACATTGCGAGCTGCATCGAAGTTACGTGTGAAATTACATCCCACTGACTACCACAGTGAAGGCCACAGTGGTTGCTCTGCCCCTGTAACTAGACTCCCTTCTTAGTTTGAGCACCTGCACACCCTTGCAGCCTATATTTTCCCAGCATTCGAGCCGTCTTCTACCGACATCTTATGCCCGAAATACACAGCTTCAGTGATAACGGTAACACGCATGCATACGAAATAGCTCAAACTTATGCTGCTGTGTGAAAGCATTTGTTCCTGGATTTCATACACTCACATAGAAATACTTTTCTGAGAGGTTATCAACAGATGTCTGCACCGTAAATGTCTTTAAGCCTTTGGTTCATCTAAGTAATACTTAAACTTTCAGTTCGCACCTCACAGGAAACGCATTTAAATTATTTATTATTATGAAGCTAACAGGAATTTTGGATTATAATGACTATGAGCTACACAGCCGGAGAAACGGGTTTTAATTTCCGGCGTAGGAGGTTTTCCTCAGCACCACTACACCTATCTAATGCCTGCAGGAGTCATTTACACCCAGGGATTAATGCGGCCGTGACGTGATGGTAACAACTCAGCTCCACCTAGTGCCGAAGGTTAAGAAAGACTGGAGCTATGCCTCCGCAAGAAGGAAAGTCTTATTGTGGGCACAAGGAAGAATTGCCTGATCAGTGGCAGGCCTCTATTATTGTACCACTTCACAAGAAGGGCGAAAAAACTGACTGCAGTAATTATCGGGGGATATCACTGCTATCAACTTCACACAAAATTGTATCCAGTATTCTTCTCTTGGAAGACCAAGGCGTAGGTATGTGGACAATATTAAAATGGATCTTAGAGAGATAGGATGAGATGGTATGGATTGGATTGATCTGGCTCATGATAGGGACCAGTGGATGGTTCTTGTGAACACGGTAATGAACCTTCTGGTTCCAGAAGTTCTTGAGTAGCCGCAGAACTGGCGGTTTCTCAAAAAGGGCTCAGCTCCATGAACGAATTCTTCTCTCAAGGTTAAGTCCATATACTCGTATAGATTAAATTATTGGGGATCATCAGTGTGGGTTTCGAAGTAACAGATCAACTACAGATCAAATCTTTTGCATTCGTCAGATATTGGAGTAAAAAATGGGAGTACGATGAGACAGTACACGTACAGCAGCTAATCATAGACTTCAAGAAAGTCTATGATTCAGTTAGGAGGGAAGTATTGTACAATATTCTCCTAAAGTAGGTGCAGAAACTTTTTGTCTTCTCGTCTGCTGTCTAAAAACATAAAAATCAGGATATACAAAACTATAATTTTGCCTGTGGTTCTGTATGGGTGTGAAACTTGGTCTCTGCCATTAAGGGAGGAACATTGACTGAGGGTGTTTGAGAACAGGGGGCTGAGGAGAATATTTGGACAGAAGAGGGATGAAGTGACAGGAAGTTGGAGAAAACTGCATAATGAGGAGCTTCATAACTTGTACTCTTCTCCAAGTATAATTAGAATGACCAACTCGAGGAGGATGGGATGGGCAGGGCGTGTAGCACGAATGGGATAAAAGAGGAATGCATATAGGATATTAGTGGGAAAGCCAGAAGGAAGGAGACCAGGATGAAGACTAAGACGTAGGTAGGTGGATAATATTAAAACGAATCTCAGAGAAACAGGATGGGCTGATATGGTTTAGATTGATTTAGCTCAGGATGGGGACCAGCGGAGAGCTCTTGTGAACACGGTAATGAACCTTCGGGTTCCATAAAATGCTGGGAAGTTCTTGAGTAGCTGCAGAATTGGCGGCTTGTCAAGAAGGGCTCAGCTCCATGAAGTCATTAGTTTGCTAGGGGCGATCAGTTACATTGTATATATTCATACTTTGTACATAATATTTTTCCCACATAATTTCAAATGTCTTGCACCTGCATCACATTTTCAAATGACACTAGATTCATTCAACACTTATCAGCGGATGACAAACAGAAGAACATGAAAGAGCTATGACTTCATGAAACAAAGCTGTAGATAAAGGTGGAGTTAACTAGTCCTGTACTTAACTATTAAGCACCATGCCATGAAGATGTATGAGGAAATGGAGGCATGCGTTCAGTCATTCTTGACCTCAACATTACATTGAGGTGAATGTTCCAGCTTCATGCAACCCCTCCTGCTGTACCCATTTGAAGGGAGGCTAGTTATGTTTCTGAACAGATCTGGAGAAGCCATGAACCTCTTATCACTGCAGCTAAACAAAACCAACTGCTCGGCAATTGAACCAGCAGTTATTATATCGAATGAGATAACCCTGTTCGCACAGAATAACCGAAGTAGGCTACAACAGCATCACATCTGTCTGCACTGATAGCGGGACCAATGTACGAGTCAGTTTGTCTTACCTGTTGTTTCTGCTCTCGTAGACACAGTGAGGGTGTCGAGTCTAAATCAGCAAACACAGCACGTCCACGTTCACTCTGAATACGTTTACAGACGCAATTTACCGGACAAATTACACTACAAGCACCAGCCACCATAACAGGAAACAAGACGCTGACGTCAGGCGGTAAGAGTACGTTCACGATTATGGTTTTAATTCGAGATATCTATCAACATGCTGTCATCTACTGGTCACAACACGAACTAGAGGCCTAAGCGATCCAGGCTTGCTCCGCATTCTGACTTTCGTCAGGACGAATTGCATAGTAATTTCTATAGCGTTGCAGTAAATATATTGCAGAGGTTATCAACGGAAATGTGATCATAATCCTAGTTATTCTTAAAAGTATCTGCTGTCGCATAAGTTTTACCGATGCGCCCTACAGCTATGCAAGGTATGTCCTTTCGCATGTAACTCGAGAATTGCTGAACGGATTTTAATGAAATTTGGTATCGTGGAGTTTTCCCAAAGTTTGTAGACTTTTACAATTTTGTTTAAAATGTGACGATATCGGACACTTTACGTGAAGACCTGCAGAAACATCGAGAGTAACTTGCTGAATGTTTATCTAAACAAAAAATATTTCAAATAATAGTTGTAGAGAGAAAAGAAACACATGTTTTATTTGGGGTACACTTTTTCCCATGTCTTACGGTTTATGAGAAAATCAAGCAAAAAAGAGCGACTACGCTACAATTATTACTCGTGAATTTCCTCCCGACTTAGTTGCTATTATGATCTTTCCCCTGGAAAAAAAAATACATATATATATATATATGTATATATGTTAATCTCAGAAATTTGTTAGATGAATTTGAAGTAAATTTATTAGTGGAGTCTCACACTAAATATCACTAAAATAATTTCGTCTCTGTCCATATCTTTCCAACAAAACCCTAAGTTTACAGGAACCAGAAACAGAATTTTAAAAACAAACTAAGAAAACGTGTTACCATCTGCATTGCAAATGTTATGTTTCACTGACGTTGAGGGTGTTCAAATCAAGGAGAAATTAATAGGTGGGGCATGTAGCACGTATGAAAGTGATCAGAAATTAATACATATTAGTCGATGCACAAACAAGAGGATAACAGTAAAGGTTGTTAAAAGATACGATACGGAGGTGTGACCTGGATTCATATGACTCAGGATAGAGTCCAGCGTGGGCTGTTGTGAACAGTGTAATGAAGCATCGGGTTCAGTAGAAGTAATTCATTGTGAAAACACCGAACACGACTGCGTTAGCACTGAACTTGTGATTTCAATTAGAATATTGTTAAACATTTCCTCCTCTTGTGTGGGAGCGATAAAGGCTATATAATTAATTATTTAGCTTCTGGAAGAGTTCATTTTGTTGACAAGATGGGGGCTACTGGAAGATTCCAAAACAAGTTGCATTAAGGTGAAATAAACTCCCAGCCCTGGATCTCCATCTTTCTACTTCGCAAACAACCCAGGGACAGTCCCTTGCTCCTAAGACTTGCCGATCAGTTGCACTGACGCCGGTGGGCTGTTCCGAGACCTCTCGATCTGAAGACTGAAATTCTGAACCTGCCCCTCTCCTCATTAATCATCTCTTTGTGAAGCTGTATGGGGAAGTGGAGGTATATTTCCATGCCTTTCTAACATGCGGATGCCGATCAGCTTCACGCTGCGGCTTCTTTACTTCCACGTAGCCAGTGGAACGGAACTGCACGCTGAATACTGTCTGTCTGTCTGTCTGTCACAAGGATGCGGTGCAGTGTGCTCTGGTAGAATACAGATGCGCAAACTTGCAGCCCGCTTTACTCTGATTGTTTGACTAACTCAATACTGAAGATGGAGGGAGTATTTTTATCCGAAACTTCGGTGAAATATCGACTACGCCTCGCTACATCCCAGAACCTCAAACCCAGCCACCACACTTCCGGAACTGGTCGTTCATCCAAAAGGAAGATTGTAGTGAGGGCGCGGGAAGGGAGGAAGTGGCTGGAGAAAACTGCGTAACGAGGACTGTTCACCAGTCACCGTGACCTCTGAGGGGCGGGAGCACCCCGCGTCCAGATTTCAGACACGCAGTGAACAACGCGTGGCGCAAACAATTTGCACCGCATCTGCTCTGCAGGTGAAAATGCATTTCGCACGCTCCTGGGGGGGGGGGCCGGCAGTTAATTANTTCCCCCCCCCCCAGAACGATTTAGCGCTCTGCTGTCAAAACCATCGCCCCAAACTTGGGAATTTGCGGCCAGGGGTGTCCAGCTCTGTGTATCAGATTTGAGGTTCTCACCGACTCCCGGATGTGACGCCGTGTACATTCAGTTATTGTTTGTTTAACGACGCTATGGATAACGAACAACTGGGCTCAACCGTAAGGTTTCTGACTTTTATCTGGAGGTTCTCGGCTCAAATCACAACAGGGAAATCGTTTATCTCACTGAGGTTTACCGTGGGCTTCCTCAGTGCCTCCGGGTACATATCGGGAGAGCGTATCAGACTAGGACGCGACCACGTATTCCCAAACCCTTTACAACTGAGTATTCACGAATGCGCTCTGCCATCTGGCGTCGTAAAATCTGAGATCCTAACAGGGTCGTTAAAAACTGTACATAAATGGCTCACCACCATGTAGAACTGAATGAGAGGACCATCGATGAATAAGAAAATACAAAAGGATTATGAAGGAAACGGTCTTGCTTGTTACGAGAGGGGCCACTGAAACAGACTGCACTGTTTGAGTTTACTGTATGTACAAGCCGGTCTGGAAGTGGAGAAACACCTATGCCATCGCTGGGAATCGAACTCTGATTCCCCAGTCGTTTATTCGATAGCCTAGTCACTATACCGACTGAGCCGTATCAGCTATAGTATTACGTTGATTTGGCCTTTGAGTCTTGAAGATGGAGGCAGCAAATTCCCTCGAAACTTTGATACCTCTATCCGGACTAGAAGAATTCACACCCCACGGGAGTCTCTACAGCTCTGAGACATCTGACCCCGTGACGATGAGTTCGAGCCCCGTCGCGGTCCAGTACAACTTTGTAAAACACTTATGTAAACTTTCTTTTCAAACAAAGCAACCGCACAGACAGGGTCTAATGTTAGGGTTCGAGTACTTAAGGCCGGACTGCTGGCTAGAAGTCAGTTTGCATCCGGAAGGTCCTGCGACCGGCCAACTCGACCGAGGTTTCCGTGGTTTTCCTCGGTCCTAGAGCAAATTCTGAGTTGGTACCCAAATTCCACGTTGAACTACGTGCCTCACATGCAGCCCTCCCATTGGTAACATCAAAATTTCGCCCTAATGTAGTCCTTTCGACGTTATATAATAATGAATTGTTCTCTACCAGAAGGACAAGTGGACACTGCCTGGGAACCTTCAAAACCAGAAATCAAAAGAAATATTCCTTAGGCTGCTTTTCATTCTGTCTCTCTCTCAGGGCGCCACAACTCGAAGTAAGAGGCGCGTGTGTCAAGTGTTACTTGCAGGTTACTGCGTCCGCGGGCGAAGTTTTCTCCGGTCCCCAACTCAAGATACGATAAAATCTCCGGAAATTGGTGCAATAAATTCACAATAGCTCCCCCTCAATGCTTTATAAAATCCTTGTACCTAACGGCTTCCTGATGGGGCTCATTCGTTACGAAGGGGGTTGGCTGTCCCGACCATTCTTTCTACATGTCTAGACAAGAGAAATGTTGTGATTTCTTCTCATCTGTGCTCATCTGTATGGTACTGTGGGAAAACAAGTTAGGAAATGTATACATAAATAACAAATCTGGTGCACTCAGTTCAGTTTACATCGAACACTTACGTAGAATTTGAAGCTGTCACATCTGTCAGTAAGAATACAACTATTACTACCTTCTGGGACGTAATGCCGTGTAGTCTGGTAGAAGACCTCTGACGTTTCCGAGGAAGGTTTCGATCTTCAACGTCGAGGAGTAGGTGGAAAGCTGAACTGTACTTCCTCCGAAACGTCGTCGGACGTTTCCAATTTGCATTTACGCCCTAGTTCTCCCAGAGCCACGGCACGTGTTTATGTTGGCTGGAGGACTACCACACCGCCCCATCCGACACGTCGCCTTCAACAAATGCTGAGGCTAAGAGCGCGCGGAGCTGGAAGGAAACAATTAGGTAGAGTGAAAAAGGAGGTGGTCCAATTTTAGGTACAATCCAAACATTTGTCTGGAGAGACTAAGAAAATCCACGAACATCTTAGTCATTACAGCTGGTCTCCGGACTGAGACACCGAACGGAAGGCAGGAGCGGGAGGTCCAGCAGAACAAGGCAGAAATCAAAACGAATGAAGGAAAGAAAGTGTCCATAAAGAGAAGTGAAGACTCGTGCAAACGTAGAAGAAACGGCGACCAAAAGAAATAAAGAAAGACTGCAGAAAAAGAAATAATAATATTTTTAATATTACTGCATTTGATTCAACGTACAATGGTTACTATATGAACCACCTGCTTTAATATCCCGAAACTCTGTATTCTGCCCACAGAGTGTATCTCTGTGTTCCGTGTGGTTCTCACAGTAAACAGCTACTGTTTCCCTAAACAGCATTAACCGGTTGGGCTTTGTTATGGAGATGTAATGTGTTTCCTGTGAGGTACGGAGTGAACTGCTATATATTCTGCCCACAGTGTATCTGTGTGTTCCGTACGGTTCTCACAATAAACAGCGACTGTTTCCCTAAACAGCATTAACCGGTTGGGCTTTGTTATGGAGATAGAGTGTGTTTCCTGTGAGGTACGAACTGGATTCTTACATGAACTTGGGGCTTCTGAGACTCAAATTAAACAAATGGTATCAGCCCTATGCTTACCTTTCCTGCAGCTCCTCCCTGTGGCCTGGGGGTTAAGATGGTCCAGACGGGCCCCGGCTGTTTAAGAAACCTGTGCCTGGGGAAGGTGCATCAGCAGTTGGAAACATGAATATAGAGGCCTCAGCTGCTTCAGCAGCCACCCACAGCGGTAGATATAAGTACCGCCTGCTTCAACATTGAGAACTCTTCAGGTTCTCCGAGACCAGCGTGCATATGAGTTTCGTATGTCTCCCACAAAAAAGAGAGACTGTTTCCCTAAACAGCATTAACCGGTTGGGCGTTGTTCTGGAAACGGAGTGTCTCCT